GTGCTTCAGAAACAGGCCAACAGGCATCTCTGGGTAGACTCGAACTTTTAACCCTTTCGTTCCCTGAGGGGCTCCACCAGTTTAAATAAAAAACTCTCCCCCGCACTGAGTCAATTCTGATTCACAGAGACCCTATAGGGCAGAGCAGAACTGCCATGTGGGTTTCCCAGACTGTAACTGTAACTCTTTATGGCAGTAGAAAGCCCCACCCGTGGAACTGGCTGGTGGTTTCGAACTGCTGACCTTGCAGTTAGCAATGCAACACATAACTGCTATGCCATCAAGGCTCCTCTACGTTCATATCGATGTGACCAAACGATGCATCGCGGTGCAGCGGTGTAGAAAGTAGCCCTGGGAAACCTCTGCCAGAGAAAACCTTTCCTAGGTCATGAACAGGTGACTGCCTTCATCCCACACGCCGGCCTCACCCACGATGGTAGACGACCCCTGAGTGGCTGGGACAGACGTGAGGAGGTTACAGGACCGTGGGCCCAGTCAGCGTGGAAAGCTCTCAGGGAACATTGATTCACAAAGGCCTGTCTAGATTTTTAAGATGTTAGCTTCCTCCATTTGTCACTGTTATCTGAAATAAAGTGAACAGAAAATAGATGAGCGCCCCCTCCCGCTCCCCCAATTACATGAAAAGGCACCAATGCCCTCTTCCCCAGACCCTGATTTGAGGTTCTCCATGCCAGGGGAAGGGTATTTCCGGCTCCTATGGAGGAGCAGGCGTGTAGAACTTAGATGTGACTGTCCCACAAGCAGCGGGACATGCTCTCTCCCGACCTGGTGTGCAGACTCTGCGGAGAGATGCCAGCTGAAATGATAGCTGCCAGCACCCCAAGGACACTGTCCCGTGACAACGCCCAAAGCACGAGGCCCTTAGAGAAAGGGGAGCTATCCATAATCCCAACGTGCTGCTTCAACGGTGCCCAAAGTGAAGAAGAAGAGGGAAAGCTAAAAAACTCAAGAACAAAACAGAAACCTTCATGCAAGGAACTTGTAGTATTAAATAAACATGACGAGAGAACATAATGCTTAGCAAAATTTGTCAACCTCGTAAAGATCATTATCTACGACGCCATTCACAAGGAAAATAAAGAAAAAGAAATATGGTTTTCACCTGAGGCTGATGATGAGGTGGGGCGAGCAAGGAGAAGGAACGGGGAACTCAAGCAAGGGCAGGTGGGAAAAGAACGAACCAGAACCCGAAGGAGCCACACCGGGCGAGGGACTTCATGGCCTTTCTGCCGCTGAGCTGCGGCGGGGCTGTGCAACTACAAAGAATAGGTTTCTTTGTCTTGGTGTTATAGCCCACAGAGGGGTGGAAAAGATAAGTAAATAAATAAGATTAAACTATTCTTAAAGCAAGAGAGAGAGAAGAGCCACAGTCCTAACACCACCCCCACGCCGATCCCTTACGTATCCGATCTAAACATTGGTCTGAGTGGCTCTCAAAGGAGGAAAAGTTAAAATATGTATAAGTATTATCGTTCCAGGATTTCTGTAAACCACACTGTCGCTATTAGCTGTCATCAATGGGCTCCGGCTGAGAGTGACCCCGTGCACTGCACCCCTCCCTGGTCCCCGGGATGCTCAAGCCCATTACTGCAGCCCCTGTGCATTTTGAACGACTGCCAGCCTTGGGGACCCAGCTCCCAGAACCCTACTGGACAGTAGTCTATTTTGATTTGTGGATTTTCTTTGACTGTGTTTGGAAGTAGACCACCAGGACTCTCTTCCTGGTCTGGAAGCGCCCCTGACTCCTGTCCACCTGGGTGACCCTGCTGGCATTTGAAGTACAGGGGCATAGCTTCCAGCATCATTCCAGCTACCACTGTATGGCGGACTGACAGGCGAGGGGTGGTTCGAACACATGTAACAGCACATTGTCCCTTAAACGGAAAAAAAAGAAGCAGCAACCCCATCCTGCTTATCTACAGAGCAAAACAAGTACGCATCCCAGGTGAGATGAGAAGCAGGGAGGGGAGGAGGCTGAGAGAGAGAGAGAGAGAGAGAGAGAGAGAGAGAGAGAGAGAGAGAGAGAGAGAGAGAGAG